GGGTCTACATAAAAAAGTTGGAAACATTTTGGAAGGCAGACAATTGAAATCACATTTTTAAAACTTGCAAGGAACTTAACTATTCTTTTGGAGTAATAGTAAAAAAGGACAACTTTAAGCAGGTTTCTCGAAGCAAAAGGAGGGTGCGTCTTTGAAAAATGGAAAGAATTCCAACCTCTGTTCTTGGTGAAGTATCCTGAGCGGCCCTAAAGAGGTTGGAACCAATTACATCTCTTCCAAGTCAGTTACAAACAAGACAGCTATTTCAATACCCCCTTTCCACCCCCATGTTGAAAATATTTGACCAATTATTTAACAGAAGGAAATAAGTAGCAGTAAGGACCACACTAATCCTGGACGGAAAATTTATAGACATGCATCATTTTTCTCTTTAAAAGCAAGTTTTGGTTAATTCCTAGAAGGACAATCTATCTGAACGTGCAGAATTTATTAGAACACGGGTAGGTCGCAGAGTCCCCGTCCTCCAATACATGATCTTATCATCTCAGGCCCTCAGAAGCAGCCTGCTCAAAACTCGGATCCTTTTGTGTGCACAGCTGGTTTCTCTCAGTAAAGCGCGCACACACTCGCACACACGCGCGCGCACAAAACTTCAGCCCCAACTTTGGTCGGCTTTAGGGTCCCATCCCTGAGGCAGCCTGTTTCAGCCCGCGGTCAGTACTCACGCTTGCTTTGACTGACAGCCACCGGAGACTGGGGCTGAATCATTTGCTGAGCCTGCCTCTTGCTCTTCGAGGCTCCCGTGGAGGGCACCGCTGTCCCCAGGCACAGGACGGCCAGCAGCAGCAGCCCGGGCCCCGGACCCCTGAGCATGTTGAGACGGTGGGGAAGAGACGCCCTCACCGGGAGGCAAGTTGCCACCAAGTTTGCTTCCCTTCGCAACCTGCGGGAAAAATCCCTTCCAATGCCTCCCGGGGGTTGACGCCTCCAATAAGGTGGGGGCCAGAGGGTGGGAAGGGGACGGGTGGAGGAACAGAGGGGATGCAGAGGACCAGAGAAGTTGTGGCTGCAGGTCCCCTCTCCCCGCTCGCGCCTGGGGTTCCCTCTCCTCCCCCTGTGCAGCACAGCCGGCGCGGGCGTCCGAGCCCCGGGAGCCGGGGCTTATATGGGACGGTCCCCTCCCGCCCCGCTGGAGGCCTGGGGTGCGGGGGAGGAGAGACCCGCTGGGCTGTCCCCGCCCCGCCCGCGGCCGCCGACCGCGCGCCGATTGGCCCGGGCTCCGGGTGACGTCACGGGGGACTGTGGGTTCGCAGCGAACAAAAGAGATGCTGATGGCCCGCCAGGACTGGGGCAAGACAACTTTTTTTTCGGTTTCCTTTGCGGTCGTCAAACTTTTTAGGGGATGGGGGCAGGGATGGGAAGCGGCTGGGAGGAAAGGGAGTGGCTGGACTTGTGTGAAGCGAAGGGGTTGCAAGACGCTCCCCCTTCCCTTTTCTTTTTTATTGGGGGTGGTGGTGGTGTTTGAGGACATTGCGTCACCTCTGGTCGGGGTGGGGGGTGGAAATCTCTGCTTATAGGAGTGTATTTTGTGGGGAAGAAACCCCATAAAATATCCACCACCTTGCAGCTGTAAGAATCCAGACTTTTCAGTCCCAGGGCGGGGCTGCCTTTCCCCCCACCCTGCTCGCTTTCTTTGGACTAGAGGGCACTGACTTGGGACTCCCTTATTTTGTCTTCACAGCTCCCTGTTCGGACTTCCCTTCTCAGCTCTGCGCCTGTCTGGCTCTGAGAAAGGGCCAGGGGACGAACGGGGAGCGAAGGGGAACAGAGACCTTGAATGAGCTTCTACTAAGTACCGGGAGTTCCGCGGGGCGCTTCGCAGATCCCGGAGAAGTTCAGAGAATGAAGTTTTCCTTTGCAAGGACAAAGTAACAGTTTGCTTTTTCACAAACGCAGGAAAGCCTTTCTTTCCTGGGGATGGGACGCCCGTTTCCACTGAAAGTGAAATCACTGTGAACAACCTGAAAATTGGAAAGTTGGACCAGCTGTGGGGAGCGAAAGGTCTTCGTGTCCTTTCCCACGTTCACCGCGCCAGTGACACACAAAGCAGAGATTTTTTTGCTCGAATCATTAAAAGCCGGGTGGGTGGGGGGCACCCTGTGTACTGTCTTGCCCTCCTTCGGTCCCTTTCTCGCATTTACTTGCCATTTTCTTTTTGCTGACACGTTCCATTACAGAATGCCCCCTCCATCCCCTCCCGCCCCGCTGGAGGCCTGGGGTGCGGGGGAGGAGAGACCCGCTGGGCTGTCCCCGCCCCGCCCGCGGCCGCCGACCGCGCGCCGATTGGCCCGGGCTCCGGGTGACGTCACGGGGGACTGTGGGTTCGCAGCGAACAAAAGAGATGCTGATGGCCCGCCAGGACTGGGGCAAGACAACTTTTTTTTCGGTTTCCTTTGCGGTCATCAAACTTTTTAGGGGATGGGGGCAGGGATGGGAAGCGGCTGGGAGGAAAGGGAGTGGCTGGACTTGTGTGAAGCGAAGGGGTTGCAAGACGCTCCCCCTTCCCTTTTCTTTTTTATTGGGGGTGGTGGTGGTGTTTGAGGACATTGCGTCACCTCTGGTCGGGGTGGGGGGTGGAAATCTCTGCTTATAGGAGTGTATTTTGTGGGGAAGAAACCCCATAAAATATCCACCACCTTGCAGCTGTAAGAATCCAGACTTTTCAGTCCCAGGGCGGGGCTGCCTTTCCCCCCACCCTGCTCGCTTTCTTTGGACTAGAGGGCACTGACTTGGGACTCCCTTATTTTGTCTTCACAGCTCCCTGTTCGGACTTCCCTTCTCAGCTCTGCGCCTGTCTGGCTCTGAGAAAGGGCCAGGGGACGAACGGGGAGCGAAGGGGAACAGAGACCTTGAATGAGCTTCTACTAAGTACCGGGAGTTCCGCGGGGCGCTTCGCAGATCCCGGAGAAGTTCAGAGAATGAAGTTTTCCTTTGCAAGGACAAAGTAACAGTTTGCTTTTTCACAAACGCAGGAAAGCCTTTCTTTCCTGGGGATGGGACGCCCGTTTCCACTGAAAGTGAAATCACTGTGAACAACCTGAAAATTGGAAAGTTGGACCAGCTGTGGGGAGCGAAAGGTCTTCGTGTCCTTTCCCACGTTCACCGCGCCAGTGACACACAAAGCAGAGATTTTTTTGCTCGAATCATTAAAAGCCGGGTGGGTGGGGGGCACCCTGTGTACTGTCTTGCCCTCCTTCGGTCCCTTTCTCGCATTTACTTGCCATTTTCTTTTTGCTGACACGTTCCATTACAGAATGCCCCCTCCATCCCCCGCCGCCAGATTTTTTCTATTTCAATTGTTATTTACTCCAAGAGTGTGGAAAGTGCTTTAAGATTCCCCCGTCTCGAACTCTAAACCCAGAGTGGAAAGGGAGTCTAAAAAGTCTCTCATTTAGCAACTCATCACATCAGTCCTTTTTTTCAGACAAACGCAAGCACAATTGCTTTTAAAGATCTTCAGAAGGAGGAGTCCACCGCTTCCACAGTAGATCCAGAGAGACCCAAACTGAATGCTTTACCTTCTCCTTGCGTTAGGATTTCAGAGGTTCCATTTACTTTGAGAGGACATGAAGCTACTAATAAAATATATTTATTTCGGCTAGGTACCTGTTTTCTCCAAAAGTTTCACCTTCAGTAATTGCCACAGGAGTAATTAGAACTCTGTGTTCTATAAAATGCCGGACACATTAAAGACACAAAATTAGCATTTGTTTTTATTCATGCAAGGATTTAAAACCAAACCAAAACAAAGCAAAACACCCAGCAAATATCAGGTTCCTACAAATGGTGTAAAAAAACCTCTTGAGGAATCTTGGTGACCCACACTCCAAGTTGAAAGAGTGCCATGGATTTCCCCAAATTTAGAATTCTGTCTGGGTTAAAGTATTTTTTTTTTTTTTTTAATTTCTCATCGCTTGACAAAACAGTTTTCTCTTTCAAATATAAAAGAGCTCCTTGTAAAATGCTTGGTAAATTTCTGGGAAGCTGAGTGTTTCTTCCAGAGGGATACCTGGAAATCCGGATGTAAGCAAGATAAACCTGTAGCTAAAGCTTTCTTAAAATCCATTGATTCTGGGAGAAGGAAATAAGTGATTAGAAAAGTATTTTCTCAACCAAAACCATGATAGTTTGATATATTTACTGTACTGAAAATACACTAGAATAATATGCTTAGTGGAGCTTGAAGTGGAAAGCTCACCTTACATTTTGGAAGAAACTTTTGTATTTCAATCCCATAGATATCTAATTTATTTAAGGAAACAGGATATCTCTGTCTCATAAGAAAAAAATAATAACATCTGACGGATTTTTATAGAAATGCTTCGGAGTTTACTCTTTTACTTGAAAGGTTTTTTGTTTTTTTTTTTTTTTTTGCCTTTTTGGAAGAAACTTTTGTATTTCAATCCCATAG